GGTCGCTTGCTGCCGCTTGGGGGGGGAGCCCCCCACGTTCCTTGCAGTGAGCTCGAGTGTGAACACCGCTTCTTGTTCGGACGCCTGCCGCACGGGCGGGGAGGCGTTCCAGTCGCCTTAAAGATGGGCGTACAGATTCGGAGCGGTGACAGCGGCGTGGCGTTGCACTTGGGCTGACTGCCTGGGCAGGCTCGGGGGTCTTTAAAGTTAGTGATGAGCCTGCAAACGCAGCTGCTTGCTGTGATACGCTGCCTGTATCGTGAGTGAGGTATTCTCAATAACTGTTCGGTACTGCTTTGCTTTAAACACCTGCTGAGCGTATGTTTTTTCATACATATTGCTGTACCTAACTGCACAAATCTCACGTTTGGTTTGTCACTGTTACAGTGGATGTTCGTTGTATATTTGGATCCGCCTGGTAAACTCAAAGTTTGCGGTTATTTGTAACTTAAGGCTGTCAGAGCCCTTTAAATGTTTATGATACAAGTGACTGCTGAGCCACTGTAGGATGCAGGGAGTCCAATTTATATGCTCAACATTGAAACTACTGTTCAAATATTTTTAAAAGCCTTGTGTGTTATTTAGTTATTGGAATTGGCTTTGACAAGTGAAGAAATCCCAATTTGCATGTAGTATGTCAGTTACCCTAAAATACACAGTCAGCTATAGGAATGACTTGCGGCATGCATTAGGGTGAGTAAAGCAGTCTAACACTGTAATGGCAGTAAATACTTTGAGTCTCATTTCGATGTCCTTCCGTATATACATATCCAGTTTAAATCGACGGTAATTCAGAACAAATGGAAAATTTGTTCGCCTTGGTAGATTTGTGTTGTGCCAGAAATGAGAAGGTCATATAATTAAGTATTGATTTCAGACAGACTACCTTAAAATACAGATGTACACAAAGCCATTATTGCTACATACTTCTAGAGTTTGATTTTACAGTAGTGCTAGTATATGTTATGAGCTTTAGCCTATGTTGTTCACATCTAAAGTAAGAATTCATATAACAGCGTTTACTGTGTCTTGTGTTAAGCAAGCCTCTGTCCTTTCTGTAACTGACCTTTGTGGGTATTAAAGGAAGTAAGTTCCCAGAGCAGTCACATTTCTCTTACAATTCCTTGGTTTTTGATTCTCCCTCTTCCTTCGTTTCCTTTTGGTGAGCTTTGTTGTTTTGCATGTTTTATTAGAAGAGAGCAAACTAACACTTTCCTATGACAGTTAAGCTCACAAGGATGAGTATTTTTCACAAGGATGAGTATTTTTCACTTATAGCATTAATCTCCAAATCCATGTAGCCAAAAAACGTTTTGTTTCTCAGGGCATCAAGTTGTCAGCAGAGGTCAAACCATTTGTTCCAAAACATGCGGCGGTAACTGTGGCATGGTCAGAACCCTCAGAAGCATGTGTCTTTCCTAGGTATTTAACTACATGCTACCCATTTGTTCAGGAACCATCTTTGGATAAGTATGTATATTTTCTAAATCTTATTTCTTTGGGGATTTTAACCTTCTGGTGTTGGACATTGAATGCTCTTAAAAGTCAAAGCTCTGATACATTAATATTTTAACTGTAGAAACGCTTGTGTGTTGTCTTCATGACTTAGGTGTTTTCATTTATGTTCTTTGGGCATATATCTGGTACCTTGTCTCTTGCTCCTGAGGGCCTGTATTCTTACAGAGGATTAAGGAGGATTTGCTGGTCTGTAATGATTGATCTGACTCATCTGTGCTTTGGAAGGAGTTGAATCCAGTCCTTGCTGAAAGAATGGTTGTGTTAAAACAATGCTGGGGTAAATATAGTCATATAAAAGGAAGGGGTAGACCCTCCAAGAAGGTTCCTTATGCTGTAAAACATTTAAATAATGTATGGGGCGCCTCCCGGATCTCCTCTCCACAACACGTGCATCCCCAGAAAGGCAGTTTTAGTAAGAATGCTACAAGTTTCTAAAAGGTTTTTTTCTGTTAAGGCCTGAAAAAAAGGGCATTCATGGTAGACTTACAAAAGTATTGTTAACCCCAGAGCAAACTAGAAAAAAGCGTGCATAGTAGAATAGGAAATAATTGAGCCTTGTAAGAATCTTGTGATGTTACATAGTTCTCTAGTTGCTTCTCAGAACTCTAAACATTGGATTAATTTTGCAATTGCTGTGGTGCATCCTAACAAGTTTAGTTAGAGCCTTAGCAAACACATTCATTGTAGGCCTTCGTTTTATCCTACAGAAAATCTCAGTATTTTCAACCCATTTTGATTTGTAATAAGAATTTAATATTGAGGTCAGTATGGCCTGATCTATGCATTACAAAAAGACATAGCATTAGCATTAAATCAGTTAGCATTTAAAAAAAACCCAGGAGACAGCAGCAATATTCTGATGAATGTTTTGCCTTGTTGGGACTAAGCCACAGTTATTTTTTTGACTGTCATTTGTTACTTTTCTTCTCTGTGTGTAAACTATGATTGTAAGGTTTGTTGTGACTACAGTCTATCAGAATTGCAACAGGCAGTGAGAAATACATTATCTGAATTCTCTTGTTCTGATGGGAAAGTTTCGCTGTTTTTCATTACCTACGCAAGATTCAGAGGTTGGCTGCTTCATGGTGACCAGCTTTAAAAACTATATGCAACTTTCTTAAGCTGAGACATTTCCTTTCTCCCTAACAAATTTGGATCTCAGCATATAGTTTCTGTACAAAGCGTAGGACAAAGTTGGAAGGTGTCGTGGTTTAGCCCCAGCCAGCAGCTAAGCACCACGGAGCTGCTCACTCACTCCCCCTACCCTGATGGGATGCGGCAGAGAATTGGAGGAGTAAGAGTGAGAAACACTCCTGGGTTGAGATAAGAACAGTTTACCAACTGAAATAAAGTAAGATAGTAATGATAATAATAACAATATAATAATGATGATAATAATAATAATATACAAAGCAAGTGATGCACAATGCAATTGCTCACCAGCTGCTGACCAATGCCCACCCCATCCCTGAGCAGCAATCACTGCCCGCCAGCCCACTCCCCCCAGTTTATATACTGAGCATGATGTCATATGGTATGGAATAGCCCTTTGAGCTGTTTGGGTCAGCTGTCCTGGCTGTGCCCTCTCCCAGTTTCTTGTGCACCTGGCAGAGCATGGGAAGCTGAAAAGTCCTTGACTAGCATAAGCAGTACTTAGCAACAACTAAAACACCAGTGTGTTATCAACATTATTCTCATACTAAATCCAAAACACAGCACTATGCCCGCTACTAGGAAGAAAATAACTCTATCCCAGCTGAAACCAGGACAGAAGGGAACTTTGAGTACACATTTGAAGGAAAAAGGCATGTCCCAGACATGTGTTTTCATAAACTGTGATGGTTAAATGCAGGTCAGTTAATGATTAGCTTATAATTCTGTATTGTGTTTCCTGTGTGTCTTATCCACCATAAGATGCTATACTCCTACTTTGTTATTATGTGCCATTTTAAGACAGGTTTTGCTCTTTCATGTTTGTATTTTTTGCAGTCAAGTATGTAATGCATGTCATGTAGTTATACTGTGCTTTTGGTTTGTTTCGCAAGAAAAAGCCTACTGAAAATAGGTACAAAGAATCTTGATAACCTTAAACAGAAATGAGGACTGTAACTGCAAAGCAGACTAGCTTTGCAACTTGGAAACAGATAACATCTGTGTTTTAAAATACTTGCTAAACTGCATGGTTTCCCAAAACAGAATTAATTATTTCTAAAGCAGTCCATAGCAGTGAGTAAATGCTTAATTGAAGTAGCATTGAATAGTTTTCTTTTGAAATAATAGCTTTCTTGTTAAACAATTTCTTCAGCCAAGGAATGATATGTTTATATAGGCAACAAGTATATGCTGAAGATTTGCCCTGGGGTGACTTCTCATATCTTTCTCAATGTCCATCACGTAGTGTTCTGGGAGATCCTGCCTTCCGTGAATACTCCAGCTGCTCTTACTCACCCGATGTTTCAAATGTATATCCAGTAGCTGGCTCACAATATCATTCTAACAACTCAACACAGTATAATGGTTCAGGAATAGTCAGTGAATCTGCTGAGCAAACGTATCCAATCAGACAAGAAAGTAAGAATCTTTCAAAGGTGAGCAAATACACTTTTTTTTTTTTTTTAATTAAAATTAAATTCTTATTTTAAATCAATCTTTCTAAATGTTTGGTTTATTTTTTAAAGTGAATAATTACTCTCTGTTCTTGTAGTGATAATGAATGGCATTTAAAGAGAATGGTAGTAATGTGCCCAACTTCAGATTTCAAAAACGTTCGTGGAATTCTACAGTTCAAATCAATACAGTTTTTCAGGCGGTATTTTTGGTACATGAGGGGAATTTAATTCTTTTTCCTCAGAAAGCAGCATCTGAGGAGGGAGGGGGAAAAGCATTTGTTTATGAACTGTGCTTTCCTTTGTTCACTGGGCTTGGGGTTGCAGGGGGAAAGGCTTTTTCTGAGCCCAGTGGCAGCTTCCATGAACCTGAATTAAGAGAGGTGGCTGTAATCAGCTGTATGGCTGCTAAGTGATGAGACCACATCTGTCGTTGAAGGATTTCCAAGACCTGCTACAGGTAGAAAAGAATCCACAAGAGAGTAGAGCTGCTGTGGAGAGGGAAGAAAGGTTCATATTAGAAATGTTCGCTTTCAATCAAAAGTAAACCAGATGTTTGGTAAACATCTTCTGTCTTTTCTGTGTGCCTGTTTCGGGATGAATTTCCTGAAACTTGGATAGTTTTCAAACAAAAACTAGACAAACTCCTCAAAATATAAATCAGGGGAAAAAATCAAATTTATTATTAACCCATTTTCCTCTGTGGTTAGACGCTGTGTCTCTTGGATTTGTAAGGCTGTTGTTGTTTCCAACAGGTTCAAGTAATCTGTTCTCCAGTCACATCCTTCTGGTGGACCTTACTCCCTAGGCAGAGACCTGGTAACTTCACTGTGGTCAAGCCTGTGTAGAGGAAGTTGTAAGATTAGGTCCTAAGCATGCATTACTACACGTAAGATACAAAGGCTAGAGACCTAAAATAAGTAGTTTTCTTGCTGAGAGGAAAATTAAACCCTGAAGCTGTCCGGGGAGATGATGAGCTCAGCCGTAGCACAGGTGATGTAATATGAAGAAACTTAGTTTAGCTTCCAGGAGGAGTTCTGTGATCTTTGTTGAGCTGTGCTGTGTAATGTTTGACAGTCTTTTTGTCATTGTTCCCTGTCATTTATTTTTGTGTGAGCTTGAAGAGAAATGATTGATCTTTGCAGCTTTGCATTAATTTGATCGCATCTCCTAAAGTTTTAACAATTTAGCTTTGGAGGTCAGGAATTGCCTTGTCCTCCCACTCAAGAAAATAATGTTGCTGCCAGATGTACTTGAATTTAGTCCAGCATCCTGTAATCAGAAAGAGTTAAGCCACTCGTCTAGGGTGATACAGTATACTTTGCATAGACACAAACTTAGTGCTTGTTCCTTGCCTGCTGTGCTGATTCCTGAGCCCAGCTCTGCCAAACTGTGTTTCTTGCAAGAATCACAAGGCTTTCAGGACTTTACAGTATAGGTGAATGCATTTCCTTTTTTGGGATCATATAGGTGTATCTTTTCTAATTACTTTCTGTCTGCTCCAAGTGTTTTGGATGTTGTGACATCAGTCTTGCCTAGTTTTCCCTAGAATATGTAGTTTTGTCAAAAGATTGGAATGCTTTCTAAGATCTTATCTATGTTCTGGAAGAAAATCAGTTTGGGAAAATCAGACTGGACCATTTAAGACCAAACGATTTTAAACTATTGGAAATGCTCTGATTAATGAGATCTTAAAAGTGCAGTTGTCTAGAAACATATGGAATAATCCTTCTCGCTTGGGCTATAATATGTGCTAAGAATGGCACAGTTGACAAGGTAGATAAAATTAAATAACAAATCTCTAACTGACTGTTCCTGTTTTTATTGGTTATTTGTGGTTATGGTATACTAACTATTTATGTTGTATTAACTTGATGGTCAGGCTCCAGATGCAGAGGTGGTTAACTGTAACTCAAGGCAAACTTGACGGCTTTACAAAGCTCAAGTAAAATTAACTAAATATGTCACAAATACTTGCAGCAGAGGAAATCAAAAGAGGGTGAGAAAAAATTAGACAAGAAAAGGCAAGACGGAGATGACTCTTCTGTCAGAATTGCAAACAGGACTTCGTTCCAGACCTCCACATGCAGCAGAGATTCTGTGAAGCCAGGTACAAATGTGGTGTTTGGTTAGAAAAACATCTAATAGATGTAAAATGGTTGACTGTGCTATAGCCTCCAGTTTGTCACCATGTTTCTAAATCTAGAATAATTAAGAATGTGATCATAGAATCATAGAAGCGTTTAGGTTGGAACAGACCTTTAAGATCATGGAATCATAGAACCATTTAGGTTGGAAAAGACCCTTAAAATCATCCAGTCCAACCATTAACCTACACTACCAAGTCCACACTAAACCAATCAAGGGTAGACTAGACTAAACCATGTCCCCAAGTGCCACGTCTACCTGTCTTTTGAACACTTCCAGGGATGGTGACTCCACCACCTCTCTGGGCAGCCTGTTCCAATGCTTGACTACCCTTTCACTGAAGAAATTTTTCCTAATATCCAACCTAAACCTCCCCTGGTGCAACTCGAGGCCGTTTCCTCTTATCCTATCGCTTGCTACTTGGGAGAAGAGCCCAACACCCACCTCACTACA